AAGACAGCGATGATAGTCTTTTCTTTGTCACTTAACACTTCTCGTCTTTTGGCACCAGCGTTCTGGTTTGTGTGAGACAGCAATTTGGTGTATCTGGCTATTCGCTTCGAACCCTGTCGTATGAATAATGACTAACTTTAAAGCAGTTCTCATTCGTGTAACACAGCACCTGCGCTTCTGGTATTAGTTTCATAGTAATAGGCTCAGTTTACCTCTAGTACTACACCCAGAGCTCTGTATGGATAGACTTCTCCACCATCTAATCCAGTTTTGTGTTAAATAATGGGAAATCTAGACTAATCAACATACTCTTGTCAGTGTTGATAAACATCTTTCTATATTTTTCTGGTGTGTGAGGTCGCCACCACAAACTCTGCAGCTCTGCACTACATGCTGCATGCAAACCTTTCTTCTCTCTTTTGAAGGACAAAGTGTTCTGGGGTCATGTATTTGAATAAATTAGGATTTGCACCTAAAGTATGTGTCTTAACTTGTCTAAATGGTCTTGGTGGTGGCTGTCCTCAGGTAAAGGTGGTAGAGCTGAAGGTGACGTGGATCACCAAGAGCTACTCCCCCAAAGGCTCCGACAGCGTCTATCCACCCCCCTCCACCATCACACAGGAAAACCTCAGCAGGTCAGTTGAAATATCCATCCATATGTCTTCTCACAGATTGGCTTCTGCTTTTAGTTATGTCTGAACAGCAGCCCTGATCCCAGACAAACAAATCTGGTGTTACTGTGTCTTGTTATTCCCCTGGTTGGGTTTAGAGTGAGGTGTCTGGGCTACTACGACCACACGCAGAGGCAACTGGGAGAGAGGGCCCTCTATGTCTTTCCTGCTAAAGGGGACGCCACACGCATCATCTGTGAAGGACCCGAGGGTGCCCCAGTCTTGCCTGAAGACCCTGTGGCCAGAAAGGTGTGATTCTTTTGCGTGTCCAAGTATGCTATAGATTTATATGTGCTGAAGGAGTTTTTACCTGTTGCAACAGATAAACAACTACACACACTCACACTCACTCCTACGGGCAATTTACAGTCTCCAGTCAACCTAAGCTGCATGCCTTTGGACTGTGGGAGGAAGCAGGAGTTTCAGGAAACTATTAACACCTGAAATAACATTTTTTTACTTAAGGAATTAATGGTTTCAGTGCCAGGTGTGTTTTAAGAAAGTCGTCCTCGGATGTAGGGTTAACCCTTGGTATCAGTACTTTTTGATCACATTCAAACTGTCAGTGTGTGTGTTTGTCTCCTGCAGTTGAAGAGGATGTTCAAGAAAGACTCGGGAAAGAAGACGGAGAACACCGACACACAAGGTGCCAGGCAACACTTTGTTCCAGTCGAACATATAGTACAGACACACATCAGTCTTTTCGTTGGTTCTGCCATGACTTCAGGCACGACTCTACTGTTGAAGAATTTCACTCAACTAAAAATAGAAAAGTGCAAATGATAGACTGAGCCAGACTACTGCTGGGATAATACACTAACTGACCACTTTATTAGGTACACCTGTACAATTGTATGTAATTCAATGCAGATAAGGTATGCTTTGAATTACTTTAAGGTATCTTTCTCAGGGTATGCGTTGAATTACTTTAAGGTATCTTTCTCAGAAATGTTACACGATAAACACATTTTGGTCAAAAATGCTTTTAGACTTTTTAAATTTCAAATTGTTCAATTCAGATATGTTCCTCACAAATCCAGTATCAGTTGAGTAGGTGAAGCTTGATCCCTTGACTCTGTCAGATCCAGCTAATCTGTCTTATCTCTATGTCGCCACGCTCAGGCTGCGAGTTCTGTTCCTCAAATGTCTGGTTACATTTTACATTTACTTTACTTTCTAGCTGGAGGAACGTCAATAATATATAATGATATGTGCTCTCTTAATCAGTGTTTTTACTGTGTCGAGTACCACCTCAATTTATCTTATTGGAAATGATCAGTCCTTACCTTAGGCTAAAACACTGTCACGTGCTCTTTTGTTGTGGCCTCTTATCAGGCGAACACAGATCAGAGCAGACAGACTCGGCTCATCCCAACAAAAACGGCCTCGTGGTGCCCATCCAGCACGCCCTGGACTCCCAGAATACCAACGACACCTCGGCTGAACACGGGGAGCAGGACGCTGACGATGAAGCTGCAGAAGACACCGACGACACCAGGTCTGTTGGCATTTTTTTCTCCTTTTTTTCTCACTTGTGAATGTATTGAAATGTGGGAAGCTCTGGATGAGCACCCAGCTTCAGCCACTTTTCCACTTAAAGGCTATGAACACGATTACTTGCCATTGCTTCGTAAAGTTTAATGTGATCTGAAACAGTTGAGCTGCAACGAGAACTTCTTTTGTGAAGATTAAATGTTCAGATGTCTTGCTTCATATTTTCAAAGGTAAACATTTACCACGTTTTCTAGTCTTACTGATTACAAACTGAATACCATTGATTATGAACTAATATCACGACAGAACTTGTGCTTCAGAGAAATATCTTTGGGCTCGTGTAAATCCTGAGGGTCATTTTTCGCTATTTACTGACAACATCTGGGGCAGACGATTGATCAAAACAATATTCTACAGATAGAAAATAAATGAAAATGACACAATTTTTGCTTCAGTCTTTTGTTTCCTAATTTAATATGAAGAACTTCCTGTGTGTGTGTGTGTGTGTGTGTGTGTGCGTTCATTTATTTATTTTCCAAATAAGAGGTCTGAATAATGAACCTGTGACTTTCGCTCTGGAAACAGCTCTCTGACGTCATCAGCGAGCTCCACGGCCTCCTCTCAGAGTGGCGGTCTGGGAACAAACCGAAAGAAGAGCATCCCGCTTTCCATCCGCAACCTGAAGAGGAAGCACAAGAAGAAGAGGACCAAGTTTTCTCGCGAGTTCAAGCCTGGAGATCGGTGGGTTCACAATGGGGGGGGACAGTACAAATAGGATTTTTCTTTTATTCCTTCATTTCTCTGTGTCTGTGCATCTACCATCCATATACTACAGTACTTACATTACTAATATGCATCTCACTCCATATATCCATATATTCACACAGTAGCCTTATCATGGTGACTGTGTTTCTCACCAGCGACCAGTGATTAATTGGTTGCCTTTAATGTTTTGACATCTGGCACATCTGCAGGGCTGATGTATTTGATGACGGTGCTTCCTACACATTAATTGACCTCTCCTATTACTGTATCAGGAAGTTGGTGAAAATAATTAAGACAAATGACATCATCTGTTACCGGCTGTTAAAACGGCCAACGCCTGCTTTCCCTGGAAAGCCCGACAGCACTGTGTCTGTTTGTCCAGAGTCTGTGTTTCTTGCCAAAGGGCTCATGTCTCAGCCTGTCTGATGGTGACACTGCAGCTCGACAGCACCGACACAAAGCCCTTTAGTGCAGTCAACTGATGGTGTCATTTTCTCAACCGAACAATTCAGCTCACTAATACCACAAGACTGCAGATTCCTGTTGTCATTTAGTTACCAGCGTAACTCAAAATCTCCTAAACAAAACCTTTGAGGAGTCGGACTGTTTTAGCCGGTGTTATCCGTGTTCCGCTTTTGATTATGAGATGTTTTTACAGATCAGCATAAACCCTCTGCTTTTGACCTCTGTGTGCTTTATGATGATATTGGCAATAAGGGATTTTTGGCCATATGTAAATGATTAATGCTGGAAGATGAGACTGACCTAACTCTAAATCTACATGTTCAGTAGATGGACCTTGCTTGTCACCACCATTCATTTGACTTGAAACTGTAAGAAAAGAAAAATGTAAACACGTGAGGTAAAAGACACCTAACAAAGGTTGTCTATGCAAAGATCAGTCTAACAGATATTCACTTGTAGTAGTAAATTGTTAATTAATAAAAATACTTTTTTCTCAGTTTCAGTTTGATAGCAGTTTGGTTTTCCATGAGATGAATTTTGACTCATGCCCCAGTAAGAGTTTGGTTGCTGAGATAAAGTAACAAGTGAATTAAAAAGTTGGATGGATAGAGTGATGAGAAGAGGAAAGAACAAGTGATGACTGAGGTAACAACAGATGACTGTAGTGGTAAAAAGGAGTTATACAGCAGATAAGAAGGGGGCTGAAGTAGTTGCAGGAATGTCCAGTTGTAGCATCATTTTTATGATGAAGAAAAAGTAATCACAAGAGAGGATGGGTCCTTGATACAGCAGGAGGCAAGGGACAGGTTTTATTTACTTTTGAGTGTTTAAATGCTGCAAATTAAAGACTCATCAGCCACAGACCACAAATCAATCAAACCTTTTTGCTGTAGTCATATGTGAGTCTGATCTGTGTGTGTGTGTGTGTGTGTCTTTTTATTGCTTGGTTTTGATGCAGGATGGCAGTGGAAGTTGTATCCACGAAGACCACGGCCGACGTAATGTGGAAGGATGGGCGGATGGAGAAGGGGATCCGATCAAACAACCTCATTCCCATCCAGCACCTTGACAGCCACGAGTTCTGTCCCGGGGACTTTGTAGTAGACAAACGACGTAAGGAATATTAAATAATTTGATTTTTGTTGTTGTTGTTGTTGCTGCAACGTGTCATGTTATATATATATATAGGCCACTCTGCCACCTAATACCTGGTATGGTACATATTATGGTCATTTGCTGAAACTGTGTCTGACAATCCAGAGATTTACTTAGATGCTGTGATATTACGACTAGATAAAGTTTAGCTTTTAGGTGACTGTAAATATTTTTCTTTGTTTTGCTCTGAAATGGTTTGTGTGCTCCCTGCAGCTCAGGCCCTGCAGGACCCAGGAGTGTATGGTGTGATTCAGTCTGGCGATCACAAGGGCAGAACATGTGTCGTTAAGTGGATCAAGCTCAACTCCACCGGTGATGATGTGGAGGTCAGTCGCTAGAAAGACATACTGTAACTGTGATTGTGCTTTAAAGACAGTGAGAGTGTTTTGAATGTACGTGTGCTCGTATGAGGGAGGGAAAAGTAAGATGAGGTAGATGGTGGGGGGGAGTATGCAGTAACCATAGCAACTTCACTAAATACCTTCATATAGTGCTAGCAGATGGTTTTGCATCTGCACATCAGGCTGTTGTACAGTACACAGCTCCTCAGGTTCATAGCAGAAATGAATCAAGACTGGTAGTTCTTTTTGTTTTAATCCAGGTTATTGGTGTGGAGGAGGATGTCAGCGTGTACGACATCGCAGATCACCCAGATTTCCACTTTCGCACCACCGACATTGTCATCAGAATATGGAACTCGGAGAACGGACAGAACGACTGTGAAAATGAAGTGAGAACAGTTAAAAACCTCCCCTTCCTCATGCGTCTCTTTCATTTGTATTGAAGTGTTCCTGTATTTAGTTTTCCCTCACTGACCTAGAGGGGGAAGACAAAATATAAGAAACACCTGTCAGTGTAACACAATACAGTCCAACAGCACCACAAACCACCGCCTGCAAAATGAGGATACAGTGGCCTCATCTTTTTGAGACAACAGCATCACCTTCATGGAGGGAGGATTTATTTATTTGCAGGGTGTTGGTTTTTAGCTTGGTGTACCTAATAAACTGGCCCTGAGTGTTGAATATGTTGCTCTACAAACAGATTTCCAGAAAATGTACTGGGGAACAACATTGTGATCAAAACTGTCCTCCTCTCCTGCACCACTCTAATTGTTTAATCATCCAGCCAGTAAAACCAGACTTTTCTCTTTTTATGACCTTGAGGTCTTTTACAGTAACCTTAAGGAAACATGTTAGCATTTGTTAACCCTACTTCTGGTAAGGCTATATGAATATTTCTCCCTTCACTAAACACTGCTGCCTCTGGTGTGTGCTAGTGAGGCCTTGTTCTTTCAGTCAAGTCATGTTATATCTATATAGTCATAGTTGTATACTGTAGCGCTTTACAGTCTGTACCATATAAAACATCTTTGAAGCCTCTTAGGCCTTGTTTAGACTTGTTTTAGAAATGTCTCATGATTCGAACACAAGTGGACACCTGAGATGCATCACTGTTCACACCTGTCCACATCCATATGTCTTCAAGGTGTCCAGCAGACCACTTGTGTTCAGATTTTATTACTGCTATATCACTTACGCTAAAAGATGAAAAGGCCACATGCACAGTTATTATATCGGTCTGTTGCCAGACAAGTACCATTAGTCAGGCTACGGTTTAAGCTAAAAGTGAATGCATGCAGATTTTTCCCCCTTTATTTGGAGTGAGTGGAGCAGGATGCAACCTGAGTTGAGCGATAATGAGCAGTGCGGCTTTGAGCAGGGGAGTGGAGCGGAAATTCCCACCACTCCACTCGGCTCATATGCTCTGGTTCAAGACACATTATCATTTACACTACAAATGATATCTGGAATAGATGCGTGCCAGACCACCTTGACAAGTGGTTTCAATGATAGGGTCGCAGTCCATCTCACAGCTTTACATGAGTATTTAGCTCTGTCCACTTGTGATCCGATCACCAAGGACGCATTTCAAAACCAAGTCTAAACAGGATTCTAGACTCGTTTAGTCTTGCTTTGTATTTTGTGGTGTTGTTTGTAAATAAGGGTTGTATCTCTGCATCCACCTTCTCTCAGACGTCAGTGGGCCAGGTGTCCAGGGTGGATGTGAGCAGCAAAGTGGAGGTGGTGTGGGCAGACAACTCCATGACCATCGTCCTGCCGCAGGTAAATATCTACCCTTTTTTAATCGAACTTTATTTTGCATTGAACGGCATATTAAATGTTTGTCTGTGATGAAACTCGGTTACATTTTTGACATTAGAAGAGAGAAGTCTGTCGCTGATAGTCTTCTAATAATCACACACAGCACCTCTACAATGTGGAGTCTGAGATTGAGGAGACGGACTACGACTCGGTGGAGGAGACGAGCAGTGTCCTGTCCACTGAGGAGTGGGAGGATGAGAGCGACAGCTGGGAAACGGATAATGGTCTTACCACAGAGGACGACAGTCACGTCAACACTGGAGATGTCACTGACACAGCGACCCCAACCCCCACACCCACTGGCTTCACGACGTTCATCCTCTCCCCACAGGAGGGTGTCAAAGCTGGGGTCACCAGCCCCACTAAGGGAGTCGCTGGAGAGGAGGGAGAAGCATCTGTGGCCAGTCCTGCTTCTGGAGGAGGTGGGGTGCTTATCCTATGACAGTTATACTATTGTTCATTTCAAGGGAATAGTGTCACTTCACAATGCAAAGCAAAAACCATTCTACTTAAATCTTGTGTTGCCATGTGTGGGCTAACTTCTCTACAGGGCAATTTCTGTAATTATATTGACAATAACACCTATTTTTTCTGTCCAGGAACCACTCCAGGAGGAGCAGTGAATGGAGCAGAGAAGCCCAGCAAGGACGGTGCTTCTCGGGGGTTCAGGGAGCTGAAAGAGGCCTTAAAGATCCTGGAGAGCCTGAAGAACATGACCGTGGAGCAGCTGTGGACTGGCGGCTCTCCAACCTCCCCGACCTCCGTTGAACCTACTTCTACAATTAATGTAGCAAGTTCAGTGACACCCACGGCGCCTGAGAAGCCGACCAAGGAGAAACGCTTCCTGGACGACTTCAAGAAGCTGCAGGAGAACCTCAGGAAGACCCTGGATAACGTGGCCATTGTCGAGGAGGAGAGGATGGAGGCTGTGGTGGAAGCAGTGGGGAGTGGTGGAGCAGGGACAGAGGTAGGTGTTGAACGATTCAACAGCATCATTTTTTTTACACCAATAGATTCCTCTACATCCTTTATGTCTTAAGAACCGATTTCTTTTTTTGCACAAATATGCCAGTGCAGTCCAAATCATGAGACCGCATTCTAACCTGCTGGTGTGTTACTGTTCAGGCAGAGAGAGTTAGAGAGGAAAAGCCCCAGCAGGAGCCACAGACACCGGTCGGTGGACATGAATGGCCCAATGAGTTTCTCAGCGACACACGAGTACTGTGCCAACAGAGTGGCGGCAAGCCCGGCGTCACCTTTACCAGTGCCAAGGGAGAGGTGTTCTCTGTGCTAGAATGGGCACCAGGTGAGAGATGAGTGAATACAAAGGGTAGCTCTTTTCCTCCCTGTTTCTCTTTCTGCTTACATTCTTTATCTCTTCTTCTTTGTGTTTTGATTCTTTGAACCTTCCCTTAGTTTCTTTTGGTTTTCTTTTATTGTCTCTTCCGTCCTCAAAGTCTGAGGTTGCCTCTCTAATCTGCTTAAGTGAGACTCTAAACAAATTGACACCAGAAGCCACTCCTAACCGCTCTATCATCCTCTCCTGTTTCCTAATGACGATGTAAACTAGGGATGCTTTGGTGCAACAAACTGTACATCAGCTGACTAACAAATAATATAATTTTTGCAAATGATTATCAAAACAGACCAATGCATGGTTACATACATAATCCCTTTAAACACACCAATGTAGCTAGCATAAAAATCTAATGTAAATAAGCAAAGCTTTATTGTACTGCATTGTTCGCTAGGCAGACGGGGCTGGTTTACAGACAGCTCAGGATAGACACCAAACAGGAGACCACATTTCTTCATTACTGAGTGAGAGTAGCTGCCTCCCTTTTCCATTCTGTATTCATACGTGTTGGTCACAGCCACACACATCTTTTAGCCTGATGAGTTCTCTGCTTGTACATCTAAATTTCTGTCTGGATTCAGTCACGGTTTGTCTGCACTCTCTTGTCTTAGACACTCACTCATTCAAGAAAATGGAGTTTCAGCCAGCGGAGGCGAAGAAGTTCTTCAGCACAGTGAGGAAGGAAATGGCTCTACTAGCAACATCACTGCCTGATGGCATCATGGTCAAAACCTTTGAAGACCGCATGGTGGGTCTACTGTCATTTATATCCTGGCAATAAGCAGCACATAGTGTATCTCCTCTATATTACCTGATATATTTACTGCATACTTGGTAAAATGAGCGATTCAGTGGCGTAAATGTGTAGCATGTAAATAATTGTTTAAATGATCTAAACAGTGAGGTTGCTCTAAAACAGAGACAAAAAAAGAATTCAAAAAAAAGTACGAATGGTCTGTTTCTTGGAGCTCCAGAGAGGTGTCGGACAGAGGCTGCCAGTCATTGTTTGATCAGCAGCAGGGAGCGGCATTTACCAGTGGTGCCTGACACAGAGCCATTTCATATCTTTCAAACAGCTCATATAAACGTGCCTGAAATAACCCTCCCTTCAGCAGAGTTTGTCTCGTCGCTGAGGCACAGTTTGTTCTCGACATCAAATAGTCTTATATTACATCAGGAAATGTGTCCAAAGTGTCTTTGCCTTCTCCAACACAGGACCTGTTCTCCGCTCTGATCAGAGGGCCGACTCGTACGCCCTACGAGGACGGTCTGTTCCTGTTTGACATCCAGCTGCCCAACATCTACCCAGCTGTGCCACCTCTGTTCTGCTACCTGTCACAGTGCAGCGGCCGCCTCAATCCCAACCTCTACGACAACGGCAAGGTCTGCGTCAGTTTGCTGGGCACCTGGATTGGCAAGGTGAGCGCTGTTTGACGGGTAAACTATGAAGAGGTGTGTCACTGACTTGCAGTAACACCTGGCCGTTTCACTTGGTGACGCGGTGGTCTGGCCTACCTAAACCAGTTCAGACCTGCTCTTCTGAACCATGCTTTATTTAAGAAGTTAAAAAAGTAATAGAAATGTAATAACAGATTTTATCCTTGTCATGCAACGTGTCCTTGAGTTGGACAATTTTGTGTTAAAATTTCAAATACTGCAACTGGGTGGAGCACAAATGGTGGGGTGCCATACCCCAACGATTAGCCAGTTACACGGTAGGACAAAAGGAGTTTATTAATCTGTTCAGGCTTTTCTGTTCACCTCTAAACTCTTGGTGTTTCAGGCTGTTGGTTAGAGACATATGAAGACGTCACCTTGGACTCTTGGAAAATGTTATACTAGAGTTAAACTAACTAACGAGATAAGCATTGAAAGAAAATGTTAAATGACATAAATCAGTAATGAAATGATCATTAGTTGCAGATCCAATACTTTTTTCCCCTAGCAAAGCTTTTGATGGCATCTGCATGAAATACCCAGAAACTACAGAGCAGTAAATAAACCTTTCTGGGTCTTCTGACATGATGTCACTCATGTGGATCCACAGCAGTGCACATGTGACCATGCGCTTTGAGATAAGAGCTGATTTTGAAAAGTTTCACATGATGTCTGTAGTATGTGCAGTTGTTTCACATGCCAGCAGTTTGATTATGCTTCAAGTGTACAGTACTTAGTTTCACATTAAAATAAAGTAGAAATTAAACTTGAAGTCTCTTTCCAGTGCAGATATCCACGTTGTCTGCTTTAGAAAGCTACTGGTCTGTGCTGATTTTTGTTGTGGTGCTGTCCACAGGGCACTGAGAGATGGACCAGCAAGTCCAGTCTGCTGCAAGTCCTCATCTCCATACAAGGTTAGTGCACGTGCACACACACACACACACACACTGCTCTTTCCCCCTTCTCTGCAGCCCAAAAATGTTTTATCCGTGTCTGCAGTTATTCAACTAAATATATCTGCCTCATGCACAGACATTCCACCACTTAAAATGTCTCTGCAGTCTGGCCCACCAGACAACGAGTCCAGATTTTAATTCACTTATCACTGTCTCACAGTTAACACTTACACCACGAAGTGCAGTAGAAGTGCACATTCTCCATCTCCTGGTTTAATTACAGTCAAATAACGTCTGTGAACCACCTGCTGTTCTTTGTCGGCATGGTTTATTCCAGGGGCATTGCTAGACATAGCGCTCTGCTGGAGCACAGGCCCCCCGTCGCTCAAATCAGTTTTTCCTTGAACGTCTGCTGCATGAATGAAATGTGCTATTGCCCACATTGTGCTATATGAACTTCTCTGTTCCACTGCCATACTGCTGCTACTGAAACAGCTACTGGTAAAGGTGAAATGTAGAGATATGAATCTTTATGAACATATTTACTTCAACATACATTAAGAGCATTGTCAACATGGTTTATGGCATAAAGGTCTGGCCCTGTATTCCACCTTTCTTTGCATTTGTCTGCATTTCACAACACTAACTGGTTTGTCAAGCAGCCCAACTTTGATTTGTCAAATTTAAACTTTCACAAGTTAATAAGTTAATCTATCGGTCTGTTGTTTGTAACTCAGTCTGGTTGTGTTTCTCTTATAATGAGCTGTTCAGGTGTTAGGGTCACCTGTGTATCTTCCCTGCAGGCCTGATCCTTGTCAATGAGCCCTACTATAACGAGGCTGGCTTCGACAGTGACAGAGGCCTACAGGAGGGCTATGAGAACAGCCGCTGTTATAACGAGATGGCCCTGATCAAGATGGTCCAATCTATGACGCAGCTTCTGCAGAATCCGGTGGAGGTGTTCAAACAGGAGATCCAGGAGCACTTTGTTTCCAGTGGCTGGCGGCTCATCCACCGTCTGGAGGCGTGGCTTGAGCTGAACGACGCCACAGAGCGGGGTCAGGCAGCATACGCGCCGTCTCGGCCTCCACACTTAAAGGACAGACCTTCATCTGTGGAGCCTCTGGATGAGCAGTTGCCATTGAGGTCAGTGCCTGTGGTGGTGGCCCACAGCAGCCCCAGTAAGCCTGGGGAGGAGGCATCCACCGGAACAGGAGTCACCAGTATTATGGAGGAGGAGCTGGAGGATTCAGGGCTGAGTCCCTCCACCACAGTGGCTTCTCAGCAGGAGCTGAGCCAGAATTCAGACTGTGACAGCACCCAGGGTAACTCTTCTCTGGGAGAGGAAAACAGGGCTGGCTCTGCAGTTCGTAGCGGGATGTCAGAATCAGGTTCTGCCACTGTCAGCGGAGGAGGGGTGGGCTCCACTGGAAGCCAGCCTGCAGTGCGACCAAAGAAGCGGAGAAAGAGCTACAGGAGTTTCCTCCCAGAGGGCAGCGGCTACCCAGACATCGGCTTCCCACTCTTCCCGCTGTCTAAAGGGTTTGTGAAGAGCGTTCGAGGTGTGTTGCTGCAGTATCGAGCTGCGCTGGCTGCAGCTGGCATCACTGAGCACACAGAGGGCAAGTAAGTGCCTCCTCACCGTTCCCCAACACACCTCTGCACTGTTCCCTGCTCTGTTCTTTCTTCTCTTCTACCTTATCATCTGCCTTATTTGTCTGGTGAGGCTACGTTTGTCAGTCTGCTGTACCCCTGTCCAGAGCTGCACTATGTCCATAACCTCCACCTCTCAGTCTGCACCTCTCCCGCTGCCCCCAAACTCCAAAACGTTCTGCTTTTCTCCCCTAATTCCTCTCGCTCAAACCACAGCTGCAGGAGAGTGGCACCTTGGATCAGAAGACAGAGCAGGTTCAGGTTTAGATTCCACTTGATCATGTCTTTGTTCTCCTTCAGTATCCCTGCAGATGAGTGCGATGGATAAAGGGGGGTGGACCTCACATGCTGTCACCCAGTTACACAAACCTGTGGAAGCTTCCCCATTGCTCATCTATCCATGGACACAGGTAGAAATGCAGAGCTGTTACTGGAGACAGAGTTTCTCACCTGGCCTCAGCAGGACTTCAGCGATGGAGGTGTGGATGCAAAAAAGGACTGAATAAAATGAAAACTCAGTGCCATGAACCCTCTTCCACCCCCTCTCCAACCTCGTCCAAGCCCCCCAGTAGCCTCCATATGGGCGGGATTTACCTGTTAACAGCCTAAAAGATGTAAATCAGATTCGTAATTGGCTGGACTCCACTGAAAAACTGCAAAGCCCAGCTTTCTTGGGCTGTTGGACTAAATGCGGCTATCTGTAGCACTACTGATATTATTGCTGTACCATCCTGCACTACAACAAATGAACAGACAAACTGGTCTGCAGAGGTGACTGACCAGGAGGGTTCTTTTTAAATAGAAATCGCTGGTTGTACGCATTCTGCCAAATTCTCTGTCTCTCTCACACACACACTGCACAAATATTCAAGTAGAACGTACTGAATGTCAGTAAAACTGCCAACAATAGCTTCACCACTTCTTCCACTGTACGTTTCCTTCGCAAACAACTCGCACTGAACCACACGGTGAACATCGAGTGACAGAGTTTACACAGGATCCATCTCTGCTGCAGCTGTCCGGCGAGTGGAGAAGCCAGCCAGGCCCAGGGCGACAGCCGGGCGGCTTCTCTGATCGAAGCTTAACACAGCTGCTACCTCCACATACAGCTTGTCCATTTGCTTTCTGGACAATTTAGCAAAGGTGATCATTAAACTGGAACTTTGTGCTTTGGCAGTGTGACGCTCGCAGAGTCAGAGCTTTACTCGCATTGCTCCACTGTTCTGTGACTGAGGTAAACTCACATCACTGCAAATGAGACCATTTGGAGAATAAATAGAGAACCACCATCCATTCCGTCATCTCATGTCAACATGTTGCCTTACTTGAATTGTTCTTAATGATCTCAGACCAGTGTGTGCAGAGCTGCATAATGCCTGCTTTAGACAATAACCTGTACAGGCCCAGGCCCATTAACAACCACTAAAAGCCTGTTGTAGTGTTTTCTCCTGTAGCAGTGCAGAGTTCCCCTCTTTTATTACTTCTTGGACATGAGTCTGGTGCCGTCACTGTTCTCGGACTCCACTCAAAATTGCACGTATAGAGTTTGATGCTGAAGGTTTGTTGATATTCTAGTTAATCTGCTTGATTTTTTTTTTTTATGGTTCCATGTTTTCTTGATTTGAGTGCGTTATCCCTCGACCGTTGACCCCACTGACAAGCATTTACACCAATTACAGCTTTAGGTGAAACTGAAACCGGTGTGTCTGTTGTCTGTGAGCTGTTGTTTTTTTTTTTGTACATTGCATATTTTGACTCTGGATGAAAACAGTCTGGGTTTTATTGACCAAGTGACCACAACAATCCTGCTTCGCCACAGATTGAGCTGTAATTCACTAGGATGGCAAGTGAAACTCACCTTTGGGTCCATCCGTGCTTCCTGGGGAAGTCTTTGTTTACATCTTTTTAAATGGCTGCATCCCACCTCTAACATCATGGTCTTTTTCTTCTTATTGTACTTGTAATTCTGATTATCACACAGGGCAGACAAACCCTTGTGTTTGCAGTGATCTGAAGTAAACGGCAGAGTGCTGGTTGGCTGTTATTGTACTTGAACAGCGAACCATGATACTGAAGAGTATTTCTGGATGAGAGTGCACACTGTGCAATTGATACAATGGGCCAAGAGTGGCAGAGACTTAAGGGGAAGACAAGGTCATGAATGAGAGTCATTCGGTTTTGCTTTGTCTTCCCTGTTTTTTCTCTAAATTTGTTTTCATGTATCAGATGTGGCAACCAGGCTCCTGTGACATTTTGTCCTCTTCCTGGGTTTTACTTCGCCGTCATTTCGCTGCCTTCAACACTACAGAGGAGGATGTGTGGTCTTCTTCACTGGCTGCTGTAGCTGTAACGCTGCCTGCTTTCTTGACTTGCTGTTTCCCCGCACGCTGTCTGTAAAATGTCACCGTCACAGTTCTTGGAGGAATGTGTCTTTAATGGTCAGAGTTCAGATAAGAGCTGTGGCTACAGCGTTTTGGAAAGGTCAAAAACACACACATAGACACACACAGCTCAACCAAGAATTCAGAGGCACCATTATTGCTCCGTCTCTCGCATTTGTAATCAGTCACAGAAACAGAAAATGTGAAGCGACGTCGTTAGATCTCAAAGGGAAAATCTAGCAGGATATCAAGCACATTATGCTATGTACAATTTCTGTGTATGTGTGTATATTATTCAGATTTAAACCATCAATAATATTATTAATGCGAGAAGTTTGTTTAACAGCCAAAGCATGTAACATGTTGCTTTAAGCCTTTTGAATGGGCGACACACAAGACTTGACTGTATGATGTCTACATCTCCACAGTGGCCTGTTATTGATATATAAAACAGAACTAATAAAGTTATGATTTGTAGCCTGATTCCCTCTGTACAGACATCACTACTATAGTGAAATATGTCGCTACATACAGTATTTATTTAAGAACGTCCTGAGTTCTAACAAGTCACGTGGATGCTTGGGGCAGAAATGTACAAAATGCTGAGTGTGTCTTGTACTTATGAGTTAATTTTTTAATGGTTTACCTTTTGTTGTGTTAAAACAACTGTATAGTGATGTATTAAACTTTGCGAGCAGTACCATAGAAACACTGTGGCTTTTTTAATCTACTGGTTGTATCGACTGCAGCTTTTCATCAAAAGGAAGCCTGGTGTTATAGTTTTATTGGGTAAAAAATTGTCTACACACTGAACAAAAATGCTAGAAGAATAAATTAGGTAATGTTACATTTCAACAAACACGGGCTTCATCAGGCAAATAATTATGTAGGCACACAGGAAATCACAACCCCACCCATAATTACAGGTCACATGGTATTAAGTAACGCCAATAATTAGGTCTATTGGGAGAACAGCTCTGCTTTAAGGAAACATAACCTGTATCCCAGGTTTCTTGTAATACAGTGCTCTTCATAATGTTTGGGATAGAGACCCATCATTTATCCATTTGCTTCTGTGCTCCAGTTTTCAGATTGGTAATAAAACTATATATAAACACTTGTGTAATTTCTACATGGTTAAACCAAAATGTATAAAATACATTTTAACCACATGTAATTATTTAATTACAAGTTTGAAACTGTGGAGTACAGAAGTAAATGGATAAATGATGGGTCTGTGTCCCAAACACTGGGGCAGGCATTGACTTTTGTGTAGATCTAGTGTGGCGGGGTGCTTTGGACAGCTTATCTGAAGCCTTTATAAGATACTGAAGTTTGGGTGTAGATTTGAACCAGCAGCAGCAGAGATTTAAAGTTAACCTGCAAAATGTTGCTGAAAAAGACAAAACTACAAATAATGCAGCTCTGCTTGTGTGAAAAGTTGGGGGGATCTTGCTGTTTGGTACTGTAGGAGTCAGAGGAGCTTTTACTTGTCTGTGCCAAAGGGCAGCTGTGGCTCGGGAGTTTGGTGAGCTGTTCTCTAACCGTAGGGTCGGCGGATAAATGTGGACGAGCGAAATGCTGAATGGGCAAATAGCGTTAAAGCACTTTGCGTATGCTTCTGTGCAGAAAAAAAAGCACTATACAATTATGCCTTTTTCCCAAAATGATCATAATGTATCAAGGATAATATCTACTTGACTGTTTCAAACCAGCAACAGCGAGTACTTTCCCCAAGTGTTCTGAAAACAGATGCAGCCAAAGCTTCACAAAGCAAATCAGACTGGTTGTTGGTTGTTTATTTTATTTTTCAGTCAAAAAACACTTAAGCAGAATGTTCAATTTAATCATAGAAAAATTATAGACACTTGTCTAAATGGAAACGGATAGATAAATAGATCTCTATTTGAATCAATCACTCAATATTCAGTGTGCAAGAAAACAATTTTAGCTATTTTCTCTTCACCATAAACATCTAAGCACACAAGACAACAGTTTAGAGGCAGTAGGTAAAGATGCAAACATTCAGACAAAGTGAGATAGTTTCATCAGTCGTCAGGCTGCTTACAGAGGAACAACATACCCGGCCGACCCTCAGGTTTTCAGGTGCACTGGCCGACAGAGAGACGTTGAAATGTCGCTCCAAGTTCTTCATCATGAATAGAGGCTGAAAATGTGATGAGGTCATTTAACAAGTTGGTCTGCAGGTTCATCTCTCTGACATGAGGATAGATGTTTTTTAGTGAATCCTAAGTTTTGTCTTTAGAGCACAGCATAGTTTGACAAAATGGCGTGGAAACACTAATGAGCATTTCAAATTCAGCCAGTAGCAAATGGCAGATGAGTGACTGCATCTCTGTGTTCTGACCACCAGGAGGCAGCACAGTCAAGGCACATCAAGCAGTCACAGGGACCACAGTGCTGCTCACAAGAAATCTGACTTTGCATATTTAGAAAAAAAAATAAACAGATGAAAGTGGGCTGTAGCTCTCTGGTGTAAAAAAAAATAAAATAAAATAAAAAAACACACACACAGCTAATTGTGATTTATGTTAGCTCTGTGGTTCCCAACTTGGAAAAAAAAACTGTAGCTACACAAATTCATGGTTATTTCTCCACTTTGTAAGGCCCCTATATTTTTCCAAATGTGACACTCTTAGCAGGAAACATCTCAGGTTGTGCTGCTACACACCACATTTGTCCCATAAAACGACAGCAAAGGAAAAGAATATCACACATGATTTCAAGTACCATTTTCATCTTATGTGCTTGGCCACCTTCAGCAGAGTCCTTTGAAACAAGCGCCTGCGGATAAGTTAAATAATAAATTGACCTTGATGCCACATGAAGGCTTTGAGACAGTACTGGAAGAAAACGTCTTCTTATAAGAATTCAGGTCTATAAAGTGCCAAACGCAGTCATGTTGATAAAAGCACAAAACATGAGAATGTGTTTTCACTGTGGCCCTGTAGTCACATCAGGCCTTCACAGTCTGACCTTTCTTCCTAATAACAGTGACAGGCAACGGTTAAATGCCACTTTTTCCACCCTAGAACCACACAATGGCGTCAGGCTTCCTACTTTTAAAATTACTGTTTCTATATATGCCCCCTCCACCCCACCCCACATATGTGCACACACACACACACACACACAGAGAGAGAGTGTGGCCAGTTTGCTAATGCTCCCAGATGATTTGTTGTGGCGAGCAGGAGAACACTCTGTCAGGAACACAACAACGCCTACCTCATGCAGCATTTAACAAGTCGATATCTCCCCCTCCTCCTCCTCTCTTCGCTTCCCTCCCTCCCTCTCTTCACTCATCATTGTGCTGTTTTAACCAGATTCAACCCCCAAACCTATTGTTTAAGGTTACCCAGTGGCCAGTTCACTTGGACTCAGGCTGGACTGAAACAGAAAAGCAGATTTTCAGCCTCTCTGTGTCCAATTCAGATTTTTGGAGATTAAATCAAACATACCTCATTTAATTCTAAACTTGTTTGACCTGAATCACAAACATAAATAACAACAAAAAAAGAAAACCTGACCCCGCTGCCTGTGTAGGTTAGAAACCTCAGTCATCATTTTCTCTCTTAAAGCTCAATGGTAAACCCACCTAGGTGAAAGCGGCTGTGGCCAGACACACAGGCCTGGGACTACTCTGCAGAATACCGCAGTACTGGGCGAAAGCAGGAGAAAGAGTAGAAGAAGAAGAGTGGTATCTAGGGATGTTAGGAGGGAGGTTACAGCAGAAGGAAATCTAATTTTAAAAGCAGAAGATATCAGGACTAGGTTTACAGTACGTATATGAATCTTGTTAAGGTAATGTGGTTGGTTTAGGCAATCAGGGTGAAGCGACTGAGACTTTAAGGCAACAAATCTGACACTGCCTGCAGCTCTGGTGCTCAGCGTGACACAAAGCAGCTCACAAAACACATGAGAGGATCTGATCAGAAATCAGGCAGGCAAAACAATCCTGGTGAACTTCAGCAGTGTGACTGAACGACATCGTCCCGGACTCCACCTGCTGTCCCCTCTGCAGTTCAAGTTCGACACTTTGGCCTAAACTAAGTGTTTGAGGCTCTGAGTTCAACAAAGAGCCGCAAAGCCTGATCACCACCGCAGCAACGACAACCCCACGCTGACATCCCCACTACTTCACATTTACTGCATCTCACACACACACACACATGCTGTCTCCATCGTACTGCAGAGGAGGTGCAAAAGCATAAATCGAATCATTTGCTGTTGCATAAGCTGCAGTAATTCAGTCTGACGTGTCAGCTTCAGCAAAAAGAAGAGGAGTGTGTAAAGTGATGCTGCCATTCTCTACTACAGTACATTCAGCTATGGAGACCCCACAGTGTTTCAATAACAGAGAAATAAATCAATACAATTTAAAATCACAGCTCATTGTTCTGAAATTGTTTCTATATTTCCAGGAGTTTCTTATTTAAAAATTCCCTTTTTCTAAAGTCTGTTCTTGTTTCTCAGTGCCTATAGATATTTTAATTCTCTTTTCATGGCAAATAAAGGAGCCCCTGGACTTAACATTTTAACCATAAGAACAGATCTTATTTCATGATTTCTCATAAAGTCCTGGCTGTAAATTGTGTTCATGTCAAACTCTGGAAAAATTACATTTTGAAATAAAAGATACCTGCAATAAATGCAGCTATTGTGAAAAATAAAATGTTTTGTTTGTATTTATTCCCATGATTACATATTTCATATCTCCTTGTTTATTTCATATTGGACACCGAGTCTCCGTACATGGCATGTATTCGCCATAACAGTTTTCTGAGGAAACAGATCTTCTATGTGCCACAGAGAGACATTGCAGTAGAAAAGTTCTACATCCATTGCTTTGCTCCATCCATCCATTTCTGGTTTGAAATGCTAAACATTTGTGTTTGTTCTGTTCAGCCACTGATTAATCTCGCCAGGCCTCTGTGCACCTCTGCCTGCACCGGCCCATATTCCACCACTTCTCCGTCCACTGTCATTATCCCTTTGGGTGAATATGGTTCCAGCCTCAGTGCCTGCACCTTAGTGTGCACCAGATGTTGGCAGCTGGTAGCTAGATGTGCGCCCTTCTCCATAGCCAACAACAGCCTCAGCAATGCAACGCGTGATATACCTGCTCTAATGTAGAAAAGATGGATGATACCATCATTCAAGGCAGCGTCTGGTGCTGCCAGCAGGTCCTCTGCCAGGTGGGACTGGTACAATGCCAGCACGAGGACAAAGTCTTCCTCCTGCACCACCACCCAATACTTCTCGCTCTCTATGTCAACGTCCGCTATGAAGCCCCAGGCCAGTGACAGGAAGGAGAAGACACGAGGGCTGGAGGAGAGATGGATGGAGACCAGATCCATCGGGGACACCAGTCCTTTACAGAGCAGGAAACCACAGCTGACCAGGAGCTTCTCACTGAAGACCGGTGAGGCTCTGGAAAAGGAGAAGATGAGTGTTGGTCACAGCAGGAAGAGCTGGGCTCATGTTGCCCTCAAGTGAACTTATGTGATTGGAAGTTGTGTTCAAGATGTAGCTACATGTGAAAGGCAACAGCAACTGACCATTTGAAACATGTTTCTTTAAAGGATAAGTTCAGTCATTTTCTATAATAACAGTATTTTCAACACTTCCCACACTAAAGCCATCTATGAACTGCCTCTACTTAGACTTGATGTCTGTCAATCTCCAACCTGGATTAGCTTGTTTACCTGTGTCATAGACCTCTGTTGTTCAAAAACAACTAAAAAACATCAGTTAAACACGCTGCTGCACTGGGTGACACGTTTCTTCATTACAAAACACAAGACTCACATATTTGTTAAAAATGCTGCCCAAAAGGCTCCGACCAGCCATATGCCATAATTCTAGTTGTGATGTAAATGTTTGTTTGTTTGAAGACAAACGTCTTTAAAATGGCTCCTACAGGGTCCATTTAGACTAAGGCAGCAGCTCCACTCAAATTAAATGACCAGACTGTTTAGGGTGCAGAGAAACTAATGGTCGCTGTTATGAAGAAAATGGTGATAAAATATGACATCTTTAAATAACCTTTGTGTCCAACAAAAAGTCCAAAACCCAAAGAAACGTTCTGTCACTGATACAGAAAGGCAGCAAAATATCTTGTTTTGAAACTGAAAATAGCAAACTTTTAGCACTCTTCCTTATTAAACATTAATTGACTAAGTGTTTCAGCCATACAGTACAGTGGTTTTCTAAGAGGCCACACCATTAAAAATCTAGCTTGGGTGCAGACAGCAAAATAAAAACAGACATATAATATTTTTGGGTTAAGAAGTGGGTTGAGGCCCCTGTGTCTATTATAAGAGGAGTGCTATACAGTACCAGGCTGTGTGACCTTATTGTGTACTCTCCAAACACAGAGGGGGGGAGAGGGTAGTGGAGGAGGGAGAAACCCATGAAGAGGTGAGGATAAGGGAGTAGGATGAGTCAGGGGGTGGGTTCAATAAACCAGGACACTCTGGGACAAATCTTGGAGGTGGGAGAGAATCAGTTCATGGGCCTTGAGACATGACAGGCCAGTCAGACAACAAAGACGACCCCATCTGGGAAAATGGAGACAGGGGTGGAAGGTCATGGTAACCCTCCCAAACACACACACACACACACACACACACACACCCGCCCCCACCCCTCCGCCTACATTTGTCTACTGTTACCACCCAATTACAGTGATGACAGGACGTCTCAGTGGAGTTCCCTTGCTGTCACCCTGCAGTTATCCCCTGACTCATCATCCTGAATGTATTCACCAGACAGCCTCATCTACATTTGAAGACTTTGGTTCTTTCTAATCACTTCTAACTCATGTCCCCTTACAGTTTTATCTTTTTAACTCCAGCTAACAACCACTATGGAAAGTAACTACAGACAGATGACAAGTTAAAGGAACAACCTGAATAAATGAGTGGACTTTACTTTAGTACATGTGTTTTACTTAAGTGCTTTTAGTTTATGCTACTTCATACTTCCAGTACGCAGCTTGCGCTGGACCGTAAACCTGCCGTAACCTAACGTAACGTAACGAAACACGTCACCGATCCTTATTCCATTCCATATCTTACCATAAACTCGCGCCAACTTCAGTCTGTAACCCAGTGAGCAAATAGCATTAGCTGTTCGTTTGACTATAATGTCGTTTGTTTGGAGTTATTTTAGCCTGGAAACGCCAAAAAAACAAAACAAGACAACTATTTGTAGTGTGTGTAAAGCCAGCGTGCCGAGGGGTGGAAGTACGGTTGCATCGTACAATACAACCAATTTAATCAAGCACCTGCAGAGGTTTCACATTAAAGAGTACCGGGAGTTATGCTAGCCGACAGACAAGAAGATGCCACCAGGTAGCCGACTCTCGCTGGTTTCTGGAAACGCGATATACTTCCCGCAGTCAACCCGAAGAGATCACAAAGACGTTTCTCAACTTTGTTATACTCAATGACCAGCCACTATTTCGCAGTTTGTTGGAGCACTTAGAGCCCAGGTATAACCTGCCATATAGAAAATACATTTCACAGACTGATATACCCGAACTATACGACTGAGTGTCATCACAGTTAGATGTTAAAGCCAAGAGCGTCACAGCATATTTTTGGACCTCAGATGTGAGCAGCAACAAAGGTGAACCTCTCTATTCAGTTGCCACTGGACCCTCGACAGACAGTTAAGACAGATTTTTCTTTATTAATAACAAATTATTAATGTCCCAACATTGGCTACATTTTAAATGGTAAATGTGAAATCTTGCTAAACCAAAGCCACATGTTTATGGAGAACCCAAAATTGGAGATTTGTAAATGTGCAATAATTTGGAGAAGTGTGTGTACTTGGCCTCAGACCATCTAGTAGTTGCACTTATCCATCATTACTCATATTTAATATTTTGTTTATAAGTATTGATTGTTTTACTGCAATGAAAGAGCTCTTGTATCGGAATCCATGACTGTCTCTGCAATTGTGTATCAGAAATGACTCGGAACTGAAGAGATGTAGATCGGCCCATCACTAGTGGTTAGCAGCTCCACTTCAGAAACCTGTTCTTCTTAAACCTCATAAATGTTTCATTTTAAAAAACTGTTCAAGGTCCAAGGAGCTCATCTTACCCATTACTGTATTTCACTAAGAACTTTTCTCATATTAATCAGCTCTCGACCCCTCAGATTTATCTTTTGGACCCCTGGGAGAGGCCCCGGGTGTGTTCAGACAAAGTGAAATGAATTTTCACCTCTCCTGATTCATGTGAATTCAACCATCCCTATCATTTATGTTTCTTCACCCCAAACAGCCAGTATACCAAGAGTTCATAATTAGCTGTATGCTACCTAGCAATGGACTGTGTGTTTGTGCTCAGCTCAGCCTCTGACTAGACTCTGGACTCCACAGAAATGCTGTTCTTCTTTTTCCTCATCCTTGTACATTTATGAAACTGATTCAAACTTTCCATTGACTTTGAATTTGCTTCAGGTTCTGTGGGAACCACTGAATTAAACTACAGTCTTCTTCTTCTTCCTCTTTCGGCTGTTCCCATTAGGGGTTGCCACAGCGAATCATCCGTTTCCACCCAACTCTATCCTCAGCGTCCTCTGCTCTCACCCCAGTTAACTTCATGTCCTTTTTTAGCACATCCATAAATCTCCTCTTTGGCCTTCCTCGTGACCTCTTGCCTGGCAGCTCCATCTCCAACATCTTTCTACCAATATAACCACTATCCCTCCTCTGCACATGTCCAAACCATCTCAATCTGGCCTCTCTGACCTTGTCCCCAAAACAGCCAACCTGAGCTGTCCCTCTGATGTGCTCATTCCTAATCC